GGAAATATACATAAAAACAGGTTAGTTCCCACAATCCTGGACCTCCGTCACAGGGGGGGACTTTTATTGGGGGGGCTTATACTGCAGGAAATCACATGCTCTCAATTTTCAGCAACAGTAGACAGAGGTGGGTGAAGGCAGAAGCATCCAGAGGGGAAGGTGAAACAAGTGTTGTACCATCACACTGCAAGTCCTGCCCCTTTGGTATGCCTGCCATGATGCTCATCATTCTGATGAAACCATTGGATTCTGTTGGCGAGAGGCTGAGGAAAATATAAGAACATGCTACATTTGCCTGACATACTTTCTTAGAGGAAAAAAACCTGCCTGAAAATCTAACTATGTTAAACGTAGGCTGTGTCCTGAGTAGTAGTTCCACTGCATTGTGAAGGTGTCAGATTCCAAGACTAATGCAAGAAATCTATAGTAATGTAGGTATTGAGGGGAGAAAAAAGTACTAAAAGAATCAGAGAAAGAGGAGTATATTTCCGTCAGTCTGTTACATCATTATTTCAAGCAAAACCTGAAAGATAGCATTTGGAAGCTTGTCACAAAAATCCAATTTGAAATACAGCTGTTGAGCATGCCAAATTAAAAAGCCAATCTCTAACAGAAGCAATGAAAATCTCTTCTGCCCAGCACTGGTGATTTGCCATCTGCCTTACTATAATTGTGAATATCACCCTCGGAACGTGCGAAATATTACTGTGTTAGAAGAGCAGGAGTGAGTATCAGCAAGAGAAGGATGTTCACTTGCTTCAGCAACCTGAATGGAAAATATCACAGCAGCTAAGGCTTGATCTTCACTGTCTGTTTTTAACATGAAGTGTGATTAAAACATAGACTCACGGGTGAGTTTTTACAATTGTTTCTGTAGACACACAGGCCAAGTGTTTGCTATTACAGTGAACTGATTAGCACCTATTGGTGATTTTAAAATCAAACTTGCATTTTATTGGCTGTATTTCTGTAGTCCTAATGGAGACCAAGGTGATGTGAAATGTGCCCTAATAGACCATTCACCTGATACGTGTCTCACATGGATCATAGCCGTTTTAAACCAATTGTCATAAACTGTCTTCTAATTTAAGGAACAACCCCTTACTATCAGTAGGACAGGAACAGTAGAATGAGAAGTAGCCATGGGGTTACCTTAATCTCCACTGACTTTCACAGAACTGTGGCTCCAGGCATCTAATTTATCTCTTCATTTTAAACACTTTTCAACTACTATCTAAAATATCAGTTATACATTCACTAATAAAATCAATTTGCCTAAATCTCATTGCAATTTCCACGTGCTGTATGAGTAGCCTGACTCATTTAATATATGCAGAAACACATATTAATACATATATTATATACAGATACAACATACATGTTTTTTTATTTAAGGATATGAGATCTTGCCTCTTCTGGATGGGTGGATGCAGATTGCAAATAGTTCACTACCAGAACAGAAAACAGAAAGCATTACAAAAGAAGTTTAAGATGTTCTATAGCCATCTTGAAAGGAAAGACATCTTGAAACATTCTTAAGGGGGAAAAAAAAACTTTTAAGAGGAGTAAGTTTCTTTCTGAAAAAAAATAATTGTATAACAATAGACTTATGACACATGGCGTGAGTATAAATTCAATTCCCATCATTTCCAACTAATATAGCCACTAGTTGGTGACAATGTGAGTAGAATGCAAAAGCATTTCTTATCCTAGGTATGCCACCCCAGTATAAAGTGTGGATAACAAGTAAAAGGGAGGAAGGAAAAGCATTTCACATTAAAAGTATACAAAATGAGCTGGATAAAAGAAACATGAATAAAAAGACAAGTTGCAGAGAAGGAAAGAGGTAATCAAGTATGCCTAGACACTTCATGCTAAGGCATAATTGAATGAGTTATGAAACTCATAACTAATGAGTCAGACCTATAAACATAAAGAAGGGGGAACACAAGGGAGATGAAATCATAGACACACCTACGGAAAGAGTACTTAAAGACTGGTTTATGGAGCGGAACATAAGAGAATGTTGAGGTGCGTATTGTGACAATTATAGCCAACATTTCAAGGTATTGTAGCAGGAAGTAATCATTCAGCACAAGTGCAGTGTAACCACTCTTCCTTACAATTTTCAGTACACTGAAGAATGGGAAATGAATGCCCTGAGTAAACTGAAAATTAGTGAACTATTACTAACAATACTTATTTGAACCAATTGTTTCCAAGTGTTGAAAATACGTAAATATTGTTCTCAATGTACCAAATTGTGTGATGTCACCTCGGAGATATTTTGTGCAATATCCCTGTCATGGAAATACAATTTTTGTATTTGTGCAATGACCTGCTTTGACATTCTGAAAATCTTTAATTGCATAAGCTGATCTGTGCCTTTATCAGTGTCTATTAACATTAAGCACATCCACGTCACCAACAAATTTAGTTTTTCACCGAATTACCCCATTGATCAGCTTCAGGGTTATAAATAATACATTTCGAAAAGGCAAATCTACAGTGACATCTGAAAAAGCTTGCTATGTAAACATTCAGAAGTTATTTGATTTGAATGTTCAATTTTTCTGCCTTCTTTTTTTAAAAAAATCCATTTACACGTTCATAGTATTGGCAGTGTGTAGTGTTTGTCAAAATGCATCTTGGGGAACTTCAACTGTATGAACAGAATTATGTTTACAGTATTAAAGTCTTAAAAACAAAAGGGTAAGTCAGGATGGATTTGGATGACAGCTAAACAAATATTCAAAAGGCTACTGAAAATGTTAAGAAATGTAAGAAAAAGCAAGCATACAGCTTTATGCATGAAAGACAAATATAATAGGCACTCTAATGTTTTACAAATCGAAAGATGCCATATGGGATGACAACAATTAAGCATCCACGACTGCAAATGATTCTGTGATGGGTTCAACCAACATGTGGTTTGCCTGTGAGAATTCAATGATGAACAAACTGTGGTTTTGAAAACTGTAGCTTGACTGAATTTTCAAACCCAGCCTGCGAGTTCCATTTTTCTCAGAATTGGCAGTAATAAATGCAGCAGTTCAAAGGCTGGGAGCCAAGGTTGCCAAAAGGCAGATTTTCTGTACTTCTTATCCAGAATATCCAGAATAAAACATCAATAAATGAATAAATGCTCAGCATCATGGACCATCTTTACATTTCTCAATGTGCATTAAAGTCAATGTAATATGAAACTGAAGAAACTCAGGCAGGTTTTACTCCCTGTGCCCCAGCAAAGTTGCCAGGCTGAGGGAAAAAGGAAAGCTACATCTGGAACTTCATCTTTTATATGACTAACAAATATGAGCCTAACTTTCTCTATTCCAGTGTTTCTGAACCTCAGCAACTTTAAGATGTATGGACTTCAACTCCCAGAATTCCCCAGCATGGTACTGGGGAATTCTGGGAGTTGAAGTCC